TGTAATGTTGATGATGTTATCACTATGAATATAACGGACAAAGAAAGTGGACAAAATATACAGTTCCTCAGATAGACAAAGGAACATCCCTTCACTGCTATTATGTAAAAAGGTGAATATGCATGTGACACCTGTTCTACACATTTTTACATAATAGCAGTGAAGGGATGTTCCTTTGTCCACCCGAGGAACTGTATATTTTGTCCGCTCTCTTTGTCAGTCATGTTCATAGTGTATACAAGGCCCGAACGCTATGAATAGGCTATCTTAAGCCTGGAACAAGGATACAAAAAAGAGGAAAAATATGCCTACCACTTGTTTCTCAAGACATTAAGAAAACAAATCTATAGTAGTAGACGTCAAAGGTAGCATTTTTATACTGACAGGGTTTGTCGTTAAACGGCCTTGATGAAGATGCAGTATACCGATCCATTATAGATCGGATTACCGTTTCATAATGTTTTTTTTTTTTTTTTTTTATTATAAAAAAAATCTTTATCTCTCTGTCTCTGGGGGAGTTTTTCTCTTTTCAGAGGTAGTACCATTTTTTTTTTTTTTTTTTTTTTTTGGCAGGTTATAATATTCATGTGCAAGTATTTTTTCTTCTCACTTCAACAGATGAAGCGTTTTTGAAAGAAAAAACATAAAATGACTAAGTATAATTATAGATGTTTTGTTTAGCAAGTGATGTTAATTAAGAATTATACTTTTGTATTGTATTTTGATTATTCTGAATGTGATGTCAAGTCAGTATGATGTTAAATTGCATGAATTTGATTACACGTACTACCTCTGGTATTGAGGAAATAAAACACCTCATAAACATAAAATAATGGTGCGTCGTATAATATTCTTGGAGGAGTTTTGCTGTCTCGATGACGATGAATAATCTGGAATGAATAAGATATATCAAATTTAAGTCATTAATAACATATGATTGATGTATACGACATCCCGCAAAGTTATACAGTGCGTCCCAGAAAAAACGAAACCGAGAAGTATCGATGTTCTATCATAACTTAATCACAACTATAATGAATGAATGATACATATTTGGAAAGCTTAGAGTCTCTTCTTTCATTTAAAGCAACTCATATGATGCATATTTCACGCATGAGTGATTAAAAGCAATTTGAAGGAAGGAAACCAAAAAGACATTTGGCGGGCGGTTTCTGAATTTCGAAGAAATATTCACATTTCTAGAAAGTTGAGTTTCTGACCTTTCATATGACTCCTCAATCAGGAAAAATGAGCGAGGAATGATAAAGTTCTGTTTGTTTAAAGTAGTGCTTGCATTTCCATAATTTTATTAAACGAATTCGTTTTCACTGGCTGCCTGCCGTATCAATAAACGAAATTAACGAAAGACTTAACTCCGTTTCGTTGACAATCAGCCGTAGACGAGAGTCTTCATGCATGGTTGATTGTCAACGAAACGGAGTTAAGTCTTTTGTCAAATCTGCTTTTTGCTACGGCAGGCACCCAGTTAAAACGAATTCGTTTGTTAAAATTATGAAAATGTAAGGGCTACTTTAAACAAACAGAACTTTGTTATTCCTGGCTCATTTTTCTTGATTGAGGTATCATATGAAAGAGCAGAAAATGAACTTTCTAGAAATATGAATTTTTCTTTGAAATTCAGATACCGCCCGCCAAACTACTTTTTGGTTTCCTTCCTTCAAATTGCTTTTAATCACTCATGCGTGAAAGGTGCATCACGTGAGTAGCATCAACTGAAAGAGAAGACTCTAAGCTTTCCAAATATGTATCATTCATTAATTATGGTTGTGATTAAGTTATCATTAAACATCGATACTTCTCGGTTTCGTTTTTTCTGGGACGCACTGTATAAAGTGATGCTACAGTGCGCTAAAGGAGGGGGGAAAAGGGTCTCGGGAGGCGTTTAGCCTGTGACATTAGCAGCTCCTTTTGAAATGTTGAAAGAGTTAGAAAGAACATTTTAGACTGATAATTAATAATAACAATAATAGTACATGTAGTAATAGCAAAAAAAGTAATTGTAATAATATTAATGATAATCAAAATAACAATCATAGTAATCATAATGATAACTATAATAATAACAAAAATTATAATAATAGTAATGATAATTATGACAAATTACAATTTGGCGTTCTCGGGGTACGAAAAATATGTGCATTGTATTCGAGGTTGCGACGAAGTAATATTATTTGCACAATATTTATAAGATACTATCACAAAAGCCGGCAATACCCTATCGCCTATCCACATTATTTGTGGATTACGTAACCTGTCCTTTCAATATTTGTGCGTTTAAAAAGCTGATGGACAGGCGTAATTAAATTGCCTAATTTACTAAAAACATGATTAAAAAAAAAAAACTTTTATTTTTTAAAGATACACATACTTTGCATACTAGTAAAATGACTTCCAGCACGCAGTGACATTGCGTTTACTACCTGTAGGCTATTGATGTTATAATCTTTTAAATTTTATCGGAAGATAATATACCAACTGAAGGTTTCTCCGAGTGACTTTCCCATGCTACCCCAGATCGTGATCCTGCAATTTCAAAAGGCCGAGTTGAATTTTGCATTTTACACGTTCAAGTCTCTGCCTGTGTTATAATCACAAGACTGATGATTATACAATGCTAAGAATAACATGATTTTATTGTGCGAGGGTGTAGAACATAATTGAGGAGAAGATGTTCCATTATACAGCACCCCGGAGCTAAAGTCTAACAGTGAATTTTCGTTGAATAGAATTTGTTCTCCACTAGTTCCTGTCCCCTCTCCCTAGATCAATTATGTACCCTAACGAAAGTTTAGACGGCTAGTGAAAGTTTTTATCTAGATACAGCAGGTGCATATTTTATTTTTTTGATTTCTGCATTTTTCCCAATATAATATAACTGAATAACAAAGAACATATATTAATGTAAGGTATAATACAACATATACAAACAATAGTTTCTTCATGTCAAAATGTTTTTTACATAATATATGTACATATAATAACGAAACTTAATATTTCCATAACATATAATCATAACCTTAAAGTATTATCCGAACTATTCTGTTGGAAAAGTGCAGGAGACCACAAGCATAAGCGAAGCTTGTCAAGGATGGCGGGCTAAAAAAAAAAAAAAAAAAAAAGATCTAAAGGTAAAACTTAAAATGAAAAAGTGTTTAAACGATCTTTGTGTACGAGTTGGTGAGTGTGTTGCGTAAGTGTAAATTGTGTGTGGGTGTGTGTTGTGTGCGTGTGTGTGTGTGTGCGCGTGAGTGCGTGTTTGTATGTGTATGTAACGAATAGTGGAAGTGCACGTAGCTCTGTGTGGTATACTGGAGTGGAGATAAATATAGCCTTAACAATAAAGGAAACCAATAATACGAAATACAATACAAAATTTGCAAAACTGAGTTGCAATGTGACCAAAATTTGACAATTGCCTATATTATGTTGAAATCAGTTAGGTAGATAGTTCGATATATGAGTTTTTGAGAGATGTTTTTAAGGAATAGAGAGATGAACAATTCCTTATTGAATTTGGTATGGATTTCCAAACATCGTGTCCATGATGGTTTACTGATTTGGGGGCTAAAATTATTTTAGGATTTTCTAAGTGATAATTTTGTTGTATGTATGAATGTTTGAGTTTAAACTGTAAATATTGTGATATAGGGATGGTAGTTGATTATGAGAATATTTATACATAAAAATGCTGGTCTGAAAAATGTGAGTATCTTGTATTTTTAATGTTTTCAAACGATGAAATAAAGGTTCCGTGTGTGATATATAATGTGAGTTGGTGATCATGCGAATCGCTCTCTTTTGAAGCAAAAATAAGGAATTAATTCTTGTTAAACTACAATTACCCCATACAATATTACAATATATCACATGTGATAAAATTAGAGAATTGTATAATATAATCATAGATCTTTCAGAAAGATTTTTTTAAAACTTATACAGTATTTCAATATTCCTTGATATTGATGTATGTATATTAAGTATATGTTCATTAAAATTTAGATGAGAGTCAATAGTGACTCCTAAAAACTATACAGATTGTTTTTCAATGAGAGGCAAGCCATCAATCTCAATAATACAATTTCTTACATCATGTACGTTGGTCTTTTAAAATAAATGAAATTTGTTTTACTAAGATTTAATGACAATTTATTAGATTTAAACCACCTAGAAATGTTCATTAATTCACAGTTTAACCGCGTCATGAGCGTATCCAAGTTTTTATGGGAATAAGAAATACTCGTATCATCAGCAAAGATGATAACACTTAACAGTGAAGAGGTTTCAATAATATCATTTATATAAATAATAAATAACAATGGACCCAATATAGATCCTTGCGGTACTCCACATTTAATTGTTAATTTTGATGATGCATGATTTTGGAAAGATACGTATTGTTGTCTGTCTTGTAAATAATAAGTAAACCATGAAAGAGCTTGACCTCTTACGCCGTAGTATTGACTTAATATTTTATGATCAATCGTATCAAAAGCTTTTGACAAATACTCCAACAATATGTTCACTGTTCGCAAAAGCCTAAATTAATTTATCATACATATGCAAAATTGCGTAATCGATAGAATGACCAATTCTAAATCCAAATTGGTTAGGAATCAATAAATTATTTTTTTGTAAGAAAGTGTTCAGTCTTTTATATATTATTATTTTTCGAGAATTTTAGAGATACTTGGTAATAATTATATTGGCCTATAATTACTGATTACTGAGGAATCGTCCTTTTTATAAATAGGAATCACTTTAGCGATTTTAAGCAAATGCGGGCATACACCCGTTGAAATTGATAAATTAAATATATATGTCAGGGGGTTTACGATATTACAGATAATTTGTTTCAATAAGTGAACACTTACTATCATGGCCACTAGATTTTGTAGAATTAAGGTGTTGAACTACATTAATAATTTCATAATCACCGGTTGGAGTAAGAAGTAAGGAATTTTCACGCGAGAAGTTCAAGGACTTATTGTAGTCCATGTCACCTGAATCAATATTAGCTGCTAAATTAGGGCCTACATCTATATAATACTCATTAAAAGCTTTTGAAATTTCAATTGGATCTGTTATTTGTTGTTCATTTATTAAGAAGCATTTATTATTTTTTTGTACTTTTTTTTGCATAAGAGTTCCTTTACAGTTTTCCATAACAAATTATTGTTAGATGCTGCTTGTAAGTGTCGGCTTACTTTTATTATGGCACAGACAATAATTTACAGGTTTACTATATAAACTTCTTAAATGGTAGTTATGTTCTTTGCCAGCGTAAAAGACAACAGCACCGTCGCAATTCCTGCCAGCTCTCTTCTCTAAACCGTTTGTTCATGAACGTATACACGAATGGGTTTATGGCGTTGCTGATGAAGACCGTAAACTTCAGGAGATAGATCACGACGTAAAGGGCGGGCTTGCTCTTTGCGACGTGGACCAGGTCCTGGTTAGAGGTGGCGAAGGAGACAATAGAAGGGCACCATGACACCACCAAAATGATTGTTACAACCAACATCATGTTAGTGGCTTGTCGTTCCGAACGAGAAATACTACCAACGCGGATGCCTTCCAACCCGTTTCCTTTATGTCTTTTGTCCAATTTGAACGAGGGAACTGCGTTATTCGCCTCCGGAGATTTAACAAGTTGCCTAGCTATACTATCAGATAGTTGATTTCTATCATTTATATTTCCCTCGTTGTAGATGAGGTTCTGTTTCATTTTAGGCATTGTAGTAGGCAGTTGAGAAGATTCCCTTTGTTCGATAAAACTTGCCTCTAGTATTACTCTTTTATCCTGACATTTGCCGTGGACTGTACTTGAAACAGTAGCGACTTTTCCAGCACAACTCGGCTTCTCTCGCTGATCCAATACTGTGCGTTCTGTTTCACCAACTCCTACATCCTGCGACTTCATCCTGCTTTGAGGAACCGATAAACACTGTTTAGTTCTAGTCGAATCACCCTGCACCAAGTTGCTCCCGAGCCCCGCTTGGACACGACGGTGCTTCCTCAGTTTCCAGTAGACCATCAAATAGAGAAGAATGACAGCGACGATACACAAGGCCGCTAGTCCAATCATACCCTTTTTGAAACTTATTCCCCAGCTGTCGGGAGCCATGTAACAACGATGCACAAGATCACCGTAGCTAGCTTGAACAGCTCTGACGTTGATCCCTATGGTAGTTGCGAACATCGTCGATATTGCAAGACACACACCAGCAACCAAACACGTTGACCTTGTGGTCAATCTCTTCCGATGTGGATAGCACACGGTGGAGTACCGATCGGCAGCTATGGCTGTCATCACCAACAGCGACTGCATTACCGAGACGATACAAATGGAATAAACGCCTCGACACGATTTGAGCGAGAAGATCTCGTCGGTGATCGAAAGCCCGATCACGGCAATGAAAGCGAAGACGCAGAGGAAAAGATCAAAGCAGGCCAGGATGATGATGAAAGTCTGAGTGCTGGTTCTTCGACGCCGCTTCGTCATTATGCGAATCGTCAGAAGATTCCCTGGTACACCCAAGAGAAATAATAGATTAAAAAACACAAGCATGCTGATTGTTGTTGCATCCATGATTCGTCGTCGTTTGATTCTACTGTATGTCTACTTCTTTGTCGCTGCTCAGTATATGACTACACTGGTCATTCGTGATACGCTGCTTTTACGAACACTACTTGACACATCTGGCAGTCCAACTAGATTGGATGGAGGAAGGAGATAAAGACTCGCGCTGAAAGAAGAAGGTCAATCATTAGTTATTCTATAACGAATCGTTGTTCGAGAGTAGACTGAATGAGATTCTATCATTAAGCTCAGGTACGCGACCTTGTTTTCCCAAGTTAATGAAATATACAGAAAAAACAACAACTACATGCCTGTTGGTGACATCTCTGGCAGTCCGACTTGATTGGAAGGAGATAAAGAGTCGGTGCTGCAATAAAAAATCAATCATTAGTTTTTCTATAAGGAATTATTGTTGGGGCGGAGGCTTAACGTATAAATGTATCATGTATGTATTCATCTTTTGCACAAGCTGCGCCTTGAGCATTTGAATGTCAAGTGGATTTGGCGCCTTATAAATCATATGTATTATTATTATTATTATTCTATAATTCAGATCAGGCACGCGACCACTTTTACCCAAGTTAATGAAATATACAGAAAAAAAAACCTTCAGGCATGTTGGTGTTTTGCGAAGCTTTAACGTTAATATTGCAAGTGAACTAGATGTACTATAATGCCAGAGAAAATCCCTTGCTTTCCTTTGCAAGATTAAATATGGAAACCTCTACTACATAATGCTTAGCGCAAATAAATTTTCTGTAAATATAAATTATTAAAATAAAATAATGATAATATGAAAAAGCAAAGGACGATGATGCAGAAGAAAAAAGAAAAGCGGAAATTGATCTCCAAACTGCCACCATGATGGATTGGAATTGTATTATTGAATCCTAAGACATTGTGGTCGCATATATAGTGAGACAAATAAACAAACTTGAGAGGGGGGGGGGGGGGTGGCTGAACCAGTAACGAACTAGTAAGATATAACATTATTTATTCCTGAGCTCCAGAATTGCAGTTAAACACGCGGACAAAATAGTCCTTTCGATGTTAAAAGGGGGAGGGGGGCGCACATACATGATCGACGTCCTTGGGAGGGGTCTAAAAAATTTCTACCGATCTTGGAAATTTTGGGGGGCACGTCCCACCCCCCCCCCTCCCCCCTTGGCTACGGGTCTGCTGTTTGTCCTGTCAAGTGCTTCACAACACCTCTGAATGACTAAATGATTTCAACAAAAGGTGATACAACGGAATAATAATAATAATAATATGGATATATTTTATATAGCGCCGGTATCCGCCAGGCTCTGACGCTCATGGCACTGTACATAATTATTACAATGAACTTATACCAACAGGAAAAAAAAAGCAAACAAAATAAATAAAAAAATAACAAACAAAGTTACGTCAAGGATGTATCTATACTATTCTACATTAAAAGCTTGAGGCCCTTTATCTGAAATGATTCCTACAACATGGGCAGAGTGAGAGATCCATAGACGGACAGCAGTTGGAACGGAGCTCTGTCTATTGCTAGGGTGCATGTTTTGATGCCTATTCAGGAATACACACAATATGTGTCATCAAAATCAAGGATTTTGGAACGTAAAATGTCACGATATCCTCAAATGGATATAAAATCCCCTGCTGAATAAATACATAATTGTAAATATTGTATCAAGGATAATCTTTTCGATGTGTTTGGTGATTTTTGGATCGCGAAGATTATTCTTAAAGAACGACGAGGGTATCATTTTCCAGGATTCAGTGATGTTATAGAAAGAATGCATACGATCTTAAATGTTGGTGCAGTATTTTTTTGTTAATGGTATATTTATTTAAAATCTGTCTCACCGCTGTCAGGTTGAAATGTACATGTTTTGTGTACGGGGGAAAACAAAATGCACACAGGAAGACATGAAGGGCATACCAATGTAATATAAGTTAATAAAAGGGAATCAAAATGGTGAAACTGATCTATAATATTAATATCGTAGGGTAGTAAGTTTCCTCGCCAATTGTCTCAAAGAAAAGAAAGGGAAAAAAGAGCAAAGACTCAGGTCACTGAGAAGAGAAGGAAAATGATATTATTGGATGATGTATTAGTGATGGTTATTTTACCTGACTGCTCAGAAAGCATAAGTGCTTATTGGTAAGCAACCAAAAGACCAACGGCTTTAGGTCCTCTCCAAGGGACCTGATAATGAGGATTAATGCCTTACCAAAGGTCACTAGCGCATCGCCTTGGTTTCGAACCCGGGTCATCGGATTACGAAACCACTGCTCTACCAACTGAGCTATCGCGCCTCCGAATATTTAGGTCATCGAACTTTTAAAAAAAGCTAAGGAAAAGAAGAGGAAAGACTGATGAAGAAACAGGAGAGACTGAATGTAAAGGAATTAGTAAGGAGGTAAACTAAGTAATAAATACGATAAAACCCGTAAAGCCTGTTCATGACTGCTACATGACTTTTTTAGAAGGTTCATATAATTCTGAAGGTTAGTTCCTCCGCAGGTTCGGCAAACAAGAAGACAGTTATGAATGTTTGCAAAGTGAGGGCACTGAATTTGCAATTTGGTCAATTGATTATGAGTAGTCATTGAGAACTTACTCTTTCGTTTGTCATGTGTAAAAAAATACAACAGATCTCTGTTTTTTTCTTCTTCTAAGTGCCCTTTATCGTGGTGAACTACTCTTTAACAAAATGGAGGGCATACTATCATAGATTCTCTAAAAAGGACCTACCGAAATCATACTCATACATATTGAAAAATTTACATTTTAGTTACAATTTGTGTGTGTGTGAAACAAATGGGAAAGTTGTCTGGCACTTCGTCACAATGACATTACCGATTCAGCCAATTTGGAGTACCCAAACGTATAGTGCTTTCAAACTCCATACTAACTTTCTTGTTTTTGTCCGATTTCATGAAAACTTTGATCAGTCTGCTTTCCTGCTCGTCTATTAAAGGTAATACAAAGTTTTGGGAAATTTTGAAAATTAGCTGGATAGTGATTCTTTACAATTTTGATATATTTGGATGTTCATGTGGATGTATTATAAGCACTAGGAAATTAAGCCCCTAAAACACATCTGCTTTTGAGAAAAATTGAATATAAAAATTTACCGGTGCTCCCGGTAAATTCTGATAAATTTAAAATAGCGCTTACGGCCGTAAAATGGTAGCTGCGACCATGAAAATCTCAGAATATGTAGTTGGGATATATAATTTCCAAACGGGAATAGCCAATCGGTCGGTTTTAGTCAAGAAACATTATTTCATGGCTTAATTAATATTTTGATTCTGAGAGGGAGCTATATAACATAAAGAGCTTATTATTTACAATTTCATAACTTTAGAGACTCGATTTCAACCGCGACAACGATCACTGCATATTGTAGGATCGCACATGCTTCCTATAATGTTCATTTGAGCCAAATTCATGGCCATACCAAAACTTTGTATTACCTTTAAGGTTGGATAGAGTTTCATAATCCTTTACGTTGTCATTTTGTTGCTTGTACATTATACCCCTCGTTCCAATTTCCGGCATTTAACTGTAAATGTAGTTTCGTAGTATGGGTGATTTAGAATTCAACTTATGAAAGTAAGATGTCAAAAGATCACAACGGGACATTTCTCCAGAGGCATTGCTAGAAGGTGCGGGAGATGCAGGGTGGGGGGGGGGGGGGGGAGGGACAAATGTTCTTATTTGTTTCTACAAATTGTCCATCAATTTACGTCAAGAACGAAATGATATTTTCCAATTATGCCTACAAGAATATGAAAGTTTTTTTTTTCCGGTAATAAAATTTACTGACACATGTTAGAAATCTCTTCTTTTTTGAGGGGGGGGGGGGGGGGGTTCATCCCCCCACATCCCCCCTCATCTAGCGCCGCCTCTGAATGTGGGAATATCTAATAACGTCTTTATACAAGACTATATATTTGCAACGTTGAAACGACGACACGAAGTGAAAGTAAAACATAACCAAATCGTACTACCCTTTTGTGTCCATTCTCCTTTTGTCGTCTGAATAATACTACATGGTGGCAGCGGGATAAGTGAAGAACCATGGAAAGTTCTCGTCTACCATTGCCAGAAAGCTTTGATAAAGTTGCAGGCTTAAATCAAGCAGAACAATGGCCAAAATGGTCACGGCGGTTCGAGAGATATCGCGTCGCATCGGGCCTCGCATCCAAGCCAGACAGTGAGCAGGTTAGTACGCTACTCTATGCTATGGGTGAATGTGCCGATGATATTATCGTGTCTCTCAATGTGAAAGAGGAGACAGCAAAGTATGATGACGTGATCGCAACATTGAAGAAGTATTTCAATGTACGGAAAAACATTATTGTTGAAAGGGCAAAATTCAACAAACGAACACAACGCCCGGGAGAAAGTGTGGACACATTTATCAATGATTTGTACAGGCTAGCAGAGGACTGTGACTACGATAGACTTAAGGAGGGCTTGATAAGAGACAGAATTGTAGTTGGGGTGCTTGATGACTCCATATCTGATCAACTACAGTCTAGAGAAGACCTAACTCTCTCAAAAGCAGTTCAATTGAGTAGACAGTCAGAAGCCCGGAAACAAAACAAGTCTGTTGTGAGGGGAGGTGCAGAGAGTGAGAGCCCTAACTCGGCCGTAAACTACGTAAGGCCTAAGAGCAAGGGAACGTACTCGAAGAAAACATCTCAAACTCCGCACAGTAACTGTAAGTGGTGTGGAAGGCAGAATCATGCACGTGCCAGCTGTCCCGCAAAAGATGCAAAGTGCCATCAATGTGGAAAGATGGGCCACTTCCAGTCTGTGTGTCAAGCCAAACAACCAGAACAGGGAAAACAAGAGGCAGCAAAGCTAAAATGGAAAGCTCGAGTCAGCGAAGTAGATGATTTCGATGACATTGATGTCC